AAAAAAATCGCATAGGTAACTCAAAAACAAAATTTCGTTCTGAAAATACGATCACATTTTTTATATTACTTTAATTTATATTAATTATTATTTTCTGGAGGCAAATGATTAAAAATAAAACCGCTTGGTTCCATACTTTATATTCACCCTGTATAACTACAGAACAATAGCTTGTGCTATACATTTTTCTGTTCTTGAATTGGCTAAATTCGAGTCACGTGATGCGTTTCTTGACATCTACAAACTTGTTTATAATTTAAGAAAAGCGGCAAAAGCTTCCTTCAAATTATCAAGCAATTATCTGCTTGATTATTGTTTCTAAAAAGCGGTAAATATACTAGGTGAATTATAAATTCTCCGTTAAAAAAAACAGGGTGTTGCTGGGCGGAAACATTTTGAACATTTGCCACAGTTTTCTATTTTAAATCATTGTTATAGTGTTATTGTGTTTCCAGTTTATTTATTTCTCAATTTATGGAACTTAACGTGTTTTTATTAACACCCTGTATAAGTAAAGACTTCAATAAGTAAAGACTTTAATCAAGCAAAAAAATCTATAAAATTTTTCATGTTTCAAGTCGACATTTTAAAACTAGAAATTATCAAAAAAGTCACAACACTGCGTCCTAATGATAATAAAATGCAAAATAAATTTTATATTTTAAAAAACATTCCACCGATATCAGCGATTTTTTCTGCAATTGTGTTGACGACCTGTTTCTCATAATTAAGGCTCGGATTATATGCACGAAAAATCCGTAAAATATGCGCATATATATGCACGTATTTTCACAAAAATATGCACAAAATATTAAGAAATATGCTCGAATATATGCGATATGCAAAACTTTTAACAATAAAAAATCGAAGTTGGACTAAATTTTTATCCTCGAGTACACTAAAGGTATTCGTTTTATACCAGTTAAATAAAAAGTATGGAACCAAACATTTTTTGCTTAAACTATTTGTTTTTTTAAAAACTAATTGATGAATTAAATGTTTTATCAAGAATAAAATTTTTCGAATTTTTTGTCTGTTTTTGAGTTCTACAAAAATTTTATTTTTTTAAATCGCAACCCACTAAAAAATGTTTTGTATACTCTCCCAAAAACAACTGTGTTAGAGAATATCTACTTTTTATTAATTAAAAAAAAATAACATAAATTACAATTTTGACCAAAAAAATCGCATAACTCAAAGCAAAACAACATTTCGTTTTGAAAATACGATCAGATTTTTTATATCACTTTATTTTATATTAATTATTATTTTCCAGAGACAAATAATTAAAAAAAACCTTTGGTTCCAGGGGCGGACTGGCAAATTTTTATATGGAGTGCTAAGTTGAAATGAGGGCCCAATATTCAATACAATAAAAATATGTATAAAAACTACTTATCACTTAATGTAGTAAATTTTTTTGAAGGAGTTTGTTTTCTCTATTGAGATTGTGACGTCAGTTGAAATCATGATGGTTTAATAAACGAAGATCAAGTTTTTAGATGAACGTCACAGAGGCTGCTTGTAATTTTAATTTTTGTTTTTCTTTTCGTTTCTGTGCACCAAATTTATACTAGATTTTTCCATTATTTATGCCCACTAATAATTAAAAAAAAATTAAAATTAAATTAAATTAAGTAAAAACGATATTTTATATCGGTTGATTACAAAATGTGTGGCATAATTTTAATTACGAATACCCCTCTACAATTTAGAATAGATAGTTCAGTATTTATTGACCCACCTCAAAAAAATTACAACTTTCCAAAAATCTTTATGAAAAAATTATTTTCTGCAAATATTTTTGTTTCCGTTTATCCGATTATTATTAAATTTTGCATGTTAAAGGACAAAAAGACACTCTTTGATTTGGTGTAAACGGAAGTCTTGTAGAAGCTATACATTTCCGGTAGCAATGGGTACTCCCAGTTTTGGGATCATAACTTTTTTTCGGCTTATTAATTTCTGTTTTTGATGCAGCCCAACCATTTTTTATTATAAAAAAGGTAGTTTCATATCGCCAAAATGTACCCTTCTCGAGTTATTTGAGTTTAAACTAAATTCTACACCGCGCTGCAAAATCAGAATTTATAAATTTTGAGCGTACCTTGGAAACAATCCACTACGAATGACATCGCTGTCAATGCTGTCATATTTAATGTAAATTTCATTAAATCTAAAGGAACATTTGTTCATTTCTTGATGATTATAAAAGCTGTAATTTTTCTATTGCTTGATGAGTTGGATTAATAAATACAGTGCTATCTATGTTCATTTGTAGAGGAGCTAAAATCATTGAAATTATAGAAATTATAGTTTTATTTGTTATGATGGCAATTTTTTAATTCCTTTAAACTAAACACACTTAGCTTCTGTGAAAAACGCGTTAGCTCTATGCAATATCAAATTATAACCTTTTAGTGCATTGTGGAAAGTTTATTTGCAAATTTAAAATTATTGATATTATTTCAATGAGCTCTTGACATAATAAGTCTACCATAATTGAGGGCCCGTAAGACTCGAGCACCCCTGGCCAGTCCGCCCCTGTTTGGTTCTAAACTTCATATTCACCCTGTATAAAATGATTTTAAAGAGGAAACACGCAGCAGGATACTAATTCTTTGAGTCCGGCTTACGAATTGCTGGTTGTTTTCTCTTTAACATATTTTGTAATCGGATCATTTTCTTAAACTGGCCAATTTTTAACTTGAACTGAAATTTGTGATTTGAAGAAAATACGAACAAATATGCATTATTTCCTAAAATATGCACGAAGTTGCCAAAATATGCAAATTATGCATTTTTTAATTGGCTTATTTTAATCAAAAATATTAGACATGCATAGAAAACTTACAATTTTGTTGATATACCTCTTAATAACAAATATGCATTTTGCATATAATCCAAGCCATATCATTGAAAAGTCAAAGTGTTTTCTAATGGCACCAAACAAAAAGGGTTCGACCAAAATTTTGAAAAAATTGAAACCTTTAGAAATAGATCAAATAGGGTTTTTTGAAGATTCGGAAAATTGCAGAAAACGTTATATTGGGCAAAATGAATTGAAAATAATGACTGAAAAACTGTAAAACTGGAAAATTTTATCTGTATTAGGTCAGGTACCGGCCGCTTTTTCCTGGAAACGCCGTCCCATCTCTGGAATTTCCCTAATCACTCTCAAACCTTCCACCCTTATTCTATAGCAGCAATAAACTTTACAACAGTCGTTGTAAACCATGTCCCCATCTGCCATAAACCCGAAAACGTCCCGTCCAAAAGTATCAATTGGCATCATAAAAAATCGCCGCCAAATAATAACACACCGAAATCCTTTTGAGAAGCATAAAGCAGATGTATGCAAACAATGAGATTATGAGATAAATCCCATAAAGCGGCCCACTTTACTTTCATAGGTCCGCCGCGGAGGGGGCCCTCGCGGCTCCCCATTGGCCGTCGCGCGCCAACTCCGCCCTGCAGCCCCATCGCCAAGCCCCCGGAGTCCGGACTCGGACTCAGTACTGCTTTGGCTTTCGCAAAGTGAGGTTGTTGGCGCGTGAGCTAGTGAAATGCACTCGATGAACGACCCCACATCGGCCCTTGCAGGGATGCTGCCCTTCGAATCGATCGGATTGTACGAACAGCCCAAACCCAGGTTCATTTTCAAGATGCCGAGAGTGGTGCCCGACCAAAAGAGCAAATTCGAGTCCGACGAGCTCTTCAGGAGGCTCAGCAGGGAGAGTGAGGTCAGTGGTGGCCGTCAAAAGTGACCTTTAAAAACTGGAGTTGCGTAAGAAAGAGACCTTGTGAATGAGATTTGAGCGGTTTACCGTTTTTCTAAGCTAATTCTAATTGGCAATTTTTCGGACATTTTGCCCCCAATTTTAACCCCAACAGAGGTACAAAATTCCTTTTTTTCAAATAAAATACAGGGTGTCTCAGCGACTTGAAAAAATCCATTATCTTTAAATGGTAAAATTTAACAAAAGTTATACAGAGTGGTTATGAATGATTTTCATCTAGCCAGCTGTGAATTTTCCATGTAAGATAAAAAATGCCGCTTTACAAAAATAGGGGTACCTACTTGTTGTAACTCAAAATTAAAAAATCGCCGTTTACTAAGCGTCTACTTCAATTATAAACTTGTTTTCTTCTAAAGTATACAATATTATCAATTATTATTAGAAATTAGTTGAAACAATAAAAATTTAATTAACAACAATTTATTATTAATTAATAAGTGACACTAATGACAGAGTTAGAGCTTTCAAAAAAGTAGAGCGGCACAAATAAAGTTACATGCAAAAAAATTACAAAGCTGGCTAGATGAAAATCATTTATAACCACTCTGTATAGAACATTGATAAATACTAATCTAGTCCATCGCCTAAAATTATTTTCAACTATACAGCGTGTCTCAAAAATAAGTTACAATACAAACTTGTGTTTTTTTAAATGAAACACTATATGTTTCTTAGCGTTTTTGGATGTAGATTTTTATGACAATGTTTTTAAGCTAAACTTTTATTGGTCGATTTTGCTTAGTTTTAAAAATAAGACGGTTTTATTGACTAAAAACATGCACTTTTTAAAAATTTATTACCCAAAAACTAAGACATCTAGAAATATTTTTTTTACTACCGCAAAAAAGAAGAATTTTTTTCAGTGTGTTGCATTTGCAAAGATAAAAAAATGAAGGCGTTTGTTAAAAGTTCAATAACTTAAAAAATTTAAATGGAACACCCTATTTATTGTTTTTGTATTAAAAAAAATAAATTGCCTTTCTAAAATTATTTACTTTTAGTCAAAAAGTGCATAGTTGCACAAGAGATGGAAGAAATAAATAAAAACATTTGTGTTAATTATTTCTTTAAAAAGTGCATGTTTTCGTCAAAAAAAACCGTATTATTTCTAAAACTAATAAAAGTTTAAAGTAAAAACATTGTTTTAAAAGGCTACATCAAAAAATGCCAAGCAAACGTAGGGTGTTTGTATCGTAACTTATTTCTGGGACATGCTGTATGGTTGAAAATAATTTATATGATGCACTAGATTAGTATCTATCAACGTCCTATATATATTTTTTTTAATTTCACCATTTAAAGGTCACTAATGGACTTTTTCAACTCGCTGGGACACTGTATAATAATTAAAAAAAAATGCAAAAATTGAAGTACTTACCATTTTTTCTCTCTATATGATTCTCTTTATTAAAAAAACTTTTTTTCTGAAAATTGAAATACAAACAGGTCAATTTAAGACATAAAAATTTATAAATTACTTTGTATTTTGGAAAGAATAAAAAATTTGAAAACAGTTTATAATCCTTAGTTTCAATTAGAAAAAGAATTTTTTCACTAAGTACGTTTCACAGATATTTCCCATTTTGTTATTTAGTTTCAAGATCTTGTGCGTCTGGGTGGTCCTTTTTATTTTATAACAACTTTATAATTAGGATTCGGACTCCTTTTACAGAAAAAATAGGAAACAGTTGTTTAGATCGTTAAACCATTTTGAGTGAATAAGTTGTAACTAAACAAATTATTTAATGACTATTAGCTTTAATAAAAAATAAATTTGTTTTTAATTACGTTTCACTTTCTACCTTGTTTGTGTCTGGATTTTAAATAATTTGTCTAAAAAATTCCAAAAACTCATTTATTAGCGCGAAACTGGGGAATTTTGTTATTTCCCATTTCATGGGTGTTCATTAGTTCTGTAAATAAATTGTTTCAAATTCAGTAAAAGTAACAAATATGAATGACTTGCAATATTGTATAAAAATATCAAGGTGTAAAGTCACCTGAAATGCACAAAAACGCGCATAAAAAACTTTATTGTTATTAAAAAGTTTGTAATTATTTCTACCGCGAAAATCAAGGCTGGATATTATTGAAAGTATTTTGTTTGTGTACGAAAACGACCCTTGACGTACCACAATGCTTATTTTTACATTTTTTATTAATTTGGCGCCAAGATTCCTTTACGTTGTAACCACAAGGCACCATATGGTAACTCGAAAACATCTCTCAGTTTACCAACCTAGTGGAATTCATATTTTGACCCATCATTCTAAGAATGAGCTCAATATATGAGCAGTGGCGTAGTTGGATCTTTGGTTTAAGGGACCAAAGTACATATTTTATTTGACTAATGTATCTATCTCATTATCCAAAATAATAAAAATTACAAAATTGCTCAATACCTATTTATCTAATGACAAACTTTATTTTTGCAAAAAATAGATACCGAATAAATTGTTGTGAACAAAATTAGGTATTATTATTACTGATTTCTTAATTAATCTTAAACTAATGGCCAAACTTGATTTTTTACATTATATTCTCAAAAAGATTAAATTTCTTGTCTATACAGGCTGCGCCAGAACTCGCGCCTCAGAGAAAAGATAGAATACCAGGAACATGGAAAAATGTTTAAAAAATTTTACCTATAAAAATTTCGAAGTTATGAGAGTTTAAGTTTTGCACTTTGACTCTATTTATTTCTGTTGGAAAAATAATTTTCCAAGCTTTTTTTTTCTACCAGCTATTAGAAGAGAAAACAAGGAAGCTGTATCCTAAACAGTAACTCTGTTTAATGTTATTTATGGCTTTTATTGGCAACATTTTTGTACTTTTACTAAATAATTATAAAAAAACATGTACAAGATCATCAGTATCATTAAATAGACATTAAAAAATGTCAAATGTAAAAAAATAAATGTCAAATTTTTTTGACAGATAACATTTTTTCCATGTTCCTGGTATCCTATCTTATACTTGAAATTTTTTTTCTGGGGCGCGTGTTCTGACACCCTGAAGGTTTTTAAAATTTTGTAGCAGTTCTTCTCAGAATAATAGATTTGTCACCAAACTGGTAAAACCAACCTATTTCACAAATTATCTGTAAATTTATAAGAAAATAACTCGAAAGTGTAATTACTATATAAGGTGTCCGGAAAGTTGCACACCTCTTTAAAAAGGGAGTAATTGGGTAGTCCCCCAGAGTACTAAAAAAATGTTTAAAGAATTGTATGTGTCAAAAAATTTTGACACATATTTTGTGACATTTGAAATTTTTTTAAGTCTATTTAATGATACTAAATATGATTACCAAAAATAGGAGACTAATTTTAGAAATACATACAGGGTGTATGTACAGAACTCGCGGCTTAGAGAAAAATTTCAAGTTAGATAAGATTCCAGAAACAAAAAAAATTCTATTTGTCAAAAAATTTTGACATTTATTTTTTGACATTTGACTTTTTTAGTCTATTTAATGATACTGAAAACCATAAATAACAGTTCTAAACAGAGTTATAATTTAGGATACATCTTTTTTGTTTTCTCTTCTAATAGGAAAAAAACTTGGAAAATTATTTTTCCAACAGAAATAAACAGAACTAAATGCAAAATTTAAATCCTCATAACTTCGAAATTTTTATAGATACGATTTTTTTTTTAATTTTTGGTACAGTGTCACGGAGGTGCGCGACTTTCCGAACACCTGCATAAAACAATGTAGTATTTTCATAGGTATTCGGAGATTTTTCAATAGTAGCTGCATAAAATATAGGTAATGTAGAAATTTTTTGAATAAAAAACAGTCACAGGCAACCAAGATTGCAAAGTTTTTTTTAAAGTCACACTCGAAAATTATGACACTGCAATAGTACCTCAATAATCAAAAATAATAGGGTAGATCTGGGAAAGATAGACCAGCGGGAGTTTCCCGGATTAGCCATTTTTCTTATGGAATTAACTTTTTTTAAAATATAGATATGAAAATATTGACTCAGAAAATAATTTACAGGGTGATTCACAAGATATAGTAGATACTGAAATCTTAAACTTTGCAACCAATTTAAGACGATTTTGAAAATTTTTCATTTAGACTCGCAATTTTTTTACGTAATCTGTGCATGCAAACACATCGCCCATTAAAATTTCAACTATACTTTGTGAATTACCCTGTATATTTCAGTAAAGTGTTAAACTTGATATTTTTAACATGTTGAAAATTATACAAAAATCTGCATTTTTCAGGTTGTTTCTATAACATATTTTAATAATAAATATTGTATCATTATTTTGGTACCTAATGAGGTTCGAAAAATTATAAAAAAGGCAAATTAACTGAAAAAAAATTGTTTTTTATTCGTAGCTGTAGTCTGAATAAATAAGTAAAATAAAGAGTTTGTATTTATTGTCAATAGGTATTTTTTGAGTTATTTGAAAAAAAATTCTGAAGCGGTACATTTCAGCTTCAGGTTTTCAGTGGTGCCGCGCCACTGCCTCGTCCATTACGTAAATGCATCCATCGAATTGACATATGCGGCCCCCTCGGGCGCGGAATTCCTAGATAAGAAATGCGTCATTTCGCTCTTCTTACGTTGGCCACTTGTTCTGTTGCGTACACGTCGACGTTTTGCGTTATGAACAAGTGTGGAAGAATTCGTTCCACGTCCGGTCGCCGCGCTCTTATTACTCATTTAGTCATGGGCTCGTTTTTCATTTCCCTGAATTTCTTCATCATCGTGTCAGTGGTACAAGGTCGGAGAGATCCTCGAACTCTGCTTTTGGTAGTAATCACTAGGGTCGATCTAAGTCGTGAAAACAACGACTTGACGCGCGGTTTTTCCCTGAATTCGCCGTATTTTGATGAGATTCTACCGAGAATCGGGGAATTTTGATCCGCGTAATTGGCAACTAAGTCAGGTTGGGAATTGATGTCTTGTTCTCAAACGAAATAAACTTTTTTTTTCACTACTAATTGAGGGGTTGGGAAGTTGTTAGTGACCAATAATCATTTTCATTATTGACCAAGAGCAAAGAGGGTAATAAATCTAGAATATTATTCCGAGTTGAAATTAGTGAAAAAACCACATATTATACAGAGTGTCCCAGCGAATTGCAAAAGTCCATTAGTGACCTTTCAATAGTAAAAGAAAAAAAAATGTATAAGACGCTGATAGATACTAATCAACCATACAGCATGTCCCAAAAATAAGTTACGATACAAACTTGTGTTTTTTTTAATGAAACACCGTATGTTTCTTTGCATTTTTGGATGTATAGCCTTTTAAAACTTCTGCAAAGAAGAAAGTACAGAATTTAAAGCTGTAGCAATTTTTTAGTGTTTTGCATTTGTAATAGTATATTACATAACGAGCACGAAAAGTGATAAATAACGCACAAGCGGGAAAGTTGCGCACGAGGCGTTAGCCGAGTGCAGGCAATACCGAGAGTGCGTTAGACACTTTCCTGCAAGTTTTGTACACTATTTTTCCTACGACCATAAATATTTTTTTTCTTACGAACATATTTTTTTCTCATAACGATTTATTTTTTATAATGCATACAAAAAAAATACGTTGAATGAAAAAATGCAAAACATTCGAGTGTGAATTGTGCGTTAGATTTCTAACACACAGTGCGAAAACAATTCGCACAGGTTTTTGACCTCGTACGATATTGCCAATTTTCGCGCATATGTAATTATGCGTTATGATCTAGTTTCGTATATGGTCGTAGGAAAAGATTAATAAATTAAGAAAATTGTGAAAATTTAAATAACTTTTGTATCTAATAGATTGATAAATTGTCTATTTAAAAAAATAAACCTTTAATGCCTAGAGTTGATAAATGACAAGATATGGCAATCATAGTACCTAATTCCACCCCGTTGATATATCCAGAGATTATAAAGGTCATTATAAATACTGAAATTTGAATAATTTTTTTGTAAAAATAAAGAATAATAAGTTCAGTTTAACACAAATGTGATTATTAAGTGATATTTCTTCCATCTCTTGTACAACTGTGCACTTTTTGGCTACTGAAACAATAGTGATTATTTTTTTTAATGTTACTCGTGAAATATCTTTTTAGTTATTGAATATAAACCCATAAAAGTAAATAATTTTAGAAAGACAATTTAATAATCTTTTAAATGAAAAAACAATAAATAGGGTGTTTTATTAATTTTTTTTAAGTTATTGAACTTATAGCAAACGCCTTCATTTTTTTATCTTTGCAAATGCACCACACTAAAAAAATGTTACAACCTTATAGCTTGTACCTTCTTCTTTGTGGTAGTAAAAAAAATATTTCTAGATGTCTTAGTTTTTGAGTAATGAATTTTTAAAAAGTGCATGTTTTCGTCAAAAAATCCGTTTTATTTTTAAAACTAAGCCAAATCGACCAATAAAAATTTAGCTTAAAAACATTGACATAAAAATCTACATCCAAAAACGCTAAGAAACATATGGTGTTTCATTTAAAAAAACTTATTTTTGAGACACGCTGTATAGTTGAAAATAATTTTAGGCGATTTATTTAGAGTAAAAAAGTTTTTAAGTATGTTGGGCATCATCAGAAGAATTTATACCAAATTATTTAATTTTGAACAAACTTTTAATTTATTAATCTTTACAAATGCAAAACACTAAAAAATTGCTACAGCTTTAAATTCTGTACTTTCTTCTTTGCAGAAGTAAGAAAAAAATTGTTCTATCTGTGTAATAAATTCTTAAAGTGTATGTTTTCGTCAAAAAACCGTCTTATTTTTAAAACTAAGTAGAATCGACCAATAAAAGACTAGATTAGTATCTATCAATGTCCTATATATAATATTTTTTAATTTTACTATTTAAAGGTCACTCGCTGGGACACCCTATATGTTATTATTTCCCTCGATACTACAGGTCTCGGGTATTAAACAGTTTGGGTCTACCTTGTGATATAATATACATTTTTTTCTTTTTTAATTTAATTATGATCTATTTCCAGGTGCGCTACACTGGCTACCGAGACCGGCCCCAGGAGGAGCGCCAAGTGCGTTTCCAAAACGCCTGCAGAGAAGGACACACCGAGATCGCGTTCGCCGCCACCGGCACCAACCTCCAGCTCGTTTTCACACCACCCACCACTGGATATATGCCGGACAAAGAATGCGATTTTGATAAAGAGCCCGGAAAGGTGAGTAAGTTAATTTTCGCGAAACCGGACCTGTTTCGTGGTCAAAATGGCGCCCGAGGACGCAGCCAATGGCGAGCCGACGGCTATATTGATCGTCGCGACGCCATGCTAAGCGTCGGATACAGCTCGTCCAAAAGACTCATTCGCAAAGGGATTAGGGAGGATTTAATCCTAAGATAATGACGAGCAGTAAATTGATTCTATTTTTTACAGTATAAGATTTAAAAAAAAGAGTAGAAATAAAATAAATTAGATTTTTAAATATATAGGTTGTCTTATCTAAGACCTTCTGCTGTTTTTTATTCCTTAAAATTAGCTAAACATTTTTAACTTCTAAATATTATGAGAGATATTCTAAAAAAATCGTTATGAAAGTTCCTAAAATAGTTATTGTATGTTTGCGAGTGTTTAAGAATAAGTGCTTCTAAATTGTTTTTTTTCATACAGAATTTAAATTCCAAACCGTTAAGTTTCCGTCAATTTTACTTACCTTAATATGTATTAATTAATTTTTAGTTCATAAACTCCATACTCCAATACAAATTTCGTCTCCTGGTACTCGAAAATGTTTATTGTGTGATATGATTTTCTTTAAATTTTACTTAAAAAAATTAATAAGTGTGACCGATGGAGATAACGGGTTTTAATTATAATTTTGTTTAAAAAATAAAAAAGTGTCAATAAAAACATTGGAATAAAACCAACAAAAATCTTTTTCAGAAATTTTATTATTAAAAAAAATCCAAATTTGTATTTTGCAATGAAAAAACATGATTAGAGCTGTAAAGTACACTCTCTTTAGCCTCTTTCGTCTAAAAGAGGGAAGAAATAGTAATAATAATAACAATTTCTGTTTTAATTATTTATTTTCCATACCTACTTTATTTTTTGTAACTGTGAAAAAACTTGCCTTTTTACATAAGTCAAGAACATGAAACCAATACATACAATGCAAATCCCAACACAGAATTATACAATTATGGAATTTATTTTGAGTCAGTTGATTTCAGTTTCAACTTTAATAATTGATTATTATTATTCTAAATCACGTCTGACCATGTTTCAATAGAGATGTATAAAAAATTTAAATCAAGCATTTTATAAAGAAATTTTTAAATGTTTTTTTGCAAGTCTAGAAATTTTTTAAGCCGGTATTTCTTGACATTTTCTTAGTCTCCTCAATTGTCTTTTGTAACACGATATTTTCTAAAGTCTCAATTTACATTTTTTTAAATTTGAGCATTTCATTTTCATTTCATTCTATTTGAGAAATTTCTAAACGTTTTTTGCAAATATAAAACCGTTATTTCTGGACACTTCTTTAATCTCCCCCACTGTCTTTTCCAACACGATGTTTTAAAAAAGTCTCGATTGACATTTTTTTAAATTAAACATTTCTTTGAGAGATTTTGAAATGTTTTTTTGCAAGTCTAGAAATTCGGACACTTTTTTAGTCTCCCCAACTGTCTTTTGTAGCACGATGTTTTGAAAAGTTCGATTGACACTTTACTAAATGAAACTCTTAATCAAATTGGCTAATTATTATTATTATTATTACTAAATTGCGTCTGACCATGTATGAAAAATAAGTTTAAACTTGTCACCGTTGAACTGAGACGATTGTACATTCTAAACACTAAATAAATTTTTCGTCTTTGAGTCTCATACAATAACTTGCTATCGATTTCATTTTTTTATTACCAACACAAAAGTGAAATAAAAAATTCTATCACAATGTAAATTGAAACAATTAAAGGGTCTCTAAGGCTGGCAGCCTTGAACATTAATTTACATATGTACTTCAACTACACCTCTTAAATGTCATGTTTGAGTGAATTTGTCAATTTAACATTGACAGTAACATTATTGTAGTCATTGAAAGTCTTTTTGGTATAATTTGCAAGTATTTTTCGTTTATTGGCTTTTGTTCTGGGTCTCATTGGTTCCTTACGATTAAGTAACTTCCATGAAATCAGGCATAAATGCACTTGTGTTAGTGTAAAATATTGAAATAATGAGGGGTCACCGATAAAAATTAGCCCCCCATCATCCTTTATTTATTCTACAAAAAATGGGGCCCATCTTATACAAAAAAACATTCAAATGCTGTTTCAGTACTTTACATATTGTGTCGGCAGTGGCACAAACCACACTCTGTAAATAAAATTGTGATTATTTGAGATATTTGAAATATGAGCGTTGTTTAAGAAGTCCATTATTCAATGAAGTAATTAACAGTACAAACTGAAACCAACGCATTATTTTGACTCTCACATAAGTAACTTTCTGGTTTTCATAAGATCAGAATTAAAGCTTCTTAACGTTTAGGATGTAAGATGCAACTTTGTTTTGTAGACGTCTTAAATTCCAACTTTTTCTTTTTTCTTACCTGAAAGAATGCATAAAATCGTCTTTAGTTTTAAACCCTTAAAAAAACTCAATGTAAGAAATTACTTGTCCACGCTCGGATATGTTTATGATGATTCCTATTTATGAAATACCGATTTTGCATCCGTTTTCTTCTCAACTTACCCACTGTCCTTTAGAAAATCGGTTTTATACTGATGTACACTAAAAATTCCGAGTTTTAGATACAACATCCAAAAACATTAGAAAACATACTGATGTAATGAATACACTGCATGTAGAACGTCATTTCCAATCTATTACATTAAATTTTGAATGATTTTACAAAGAATCGTACAAAGCAACACTTTCGTCAATAAACAACTTCGTAGATATTGGACTTAAAAAAATCGACGTTTTGTAAACGTGTTGAGGAGAAAAGTCAGATGACGCACCGGTCAACCCTCGTGATTTTTCCCATATAAGACAAGGGTTTTAAGTTCCAAAGTCCAAAATTACCCTATATTTTTTGAATTAGGCAAGAATACGTTATTTTCACCCCGGTGTTTGGAGAGAAAACAGAGAAAAAAAAATTGGAAATAATGAAGTCGTGTAGATTTCGGCACGCGCCACTCCCTCGTATCCTCCCAATCTGCAATATCGATCTGGTCCCCTCGGTGGTCCTCTGGTGTCAAGTGGGGGCGCATGCTTGAAATGTTTAAGAAGTAAACATCTCCTCCGACAGCTGTTAAAATTCCTCGTAACACAATAGTTTTCAGGCTTGTAAATTACTCACTCCTGAAGAATTCCAAATTACATAGACGTCCATTTGATTTGAATAATTTCAGACGAAGGCAATTATCGGCCATTAGGGCAACAGGGACAAAGAGCAACAGCCGATGTCTGCACCGAGGAGCGTTTTTAATTTATGTCTCGGGGCAGAGCTTTTGTCGCCAGTTGTATAGCGAGAACGGACCAATTTAGTTTTAAAACGGCTGTAAATCTTCCGGTCGTATTGTTCTAAGACGGGGCTCCAGGGGCGTCGTGCCCCGAGGAACATCCGGAAGATTAGCCCTGATGGACACACTTTTACACAATTTCCAACAAAATCCCCTTTTAAAAATCTCGCCCCCTCACAGATCTGTGACAAATTACTCAGATATTAAACTAGCATCCCTCGTGTAGAATTGATGTTCAACCAGGTGATGCATCCCAACAATAAAAAGGGTTTGTTTAATAAACTGGCCCCCTTTAACTGGACGATGACAAATGATTGAAAACATCACGCTACGACTCGAAATAAATCACCACGACGCCTTCCAATTAGACGTCCAAGACAACAAAACACCTATTATGTCATTACACGAAGACAAAAGGCCGTGTTGTGTTCCACCTACAATGGACGCGTGCGCCCTTTTGTCTTTTCATTTAAACGAATCTTTTTTCCGAGGGTGATAAGCGACACGCGACTCGAAGATTTCCATCGCTTTTTAATTTTCAATGAACGTGACGTTTGCAATTTAGAAATGCTTGAATTGTGTCCGAAAATGCTACGGAATTGTTATTGCGTGCGCTCGAATGCCACGCCGACGGCATATGGATGATGATGCCCTTTCTTTGGGGCCTAGCACGCGTCTTTTGTGCTCGTTTAATTACACCGACAATTTTAGGTTCGATCGACCGTGTAAAGGACGGGCCCAATTAGCGTCAACTAATTATACTAGAAACGGACCTGCACTAAAATGGGTGAAATTCACCCAAAAATAACCAAGTTTTTTTTTTGGGAAATTTAGCAAACTAGACACATGCCTCCTTTTGGAGATAAAAATAAAAATAAAAATTACAGTAAAACAGTCTGTGAGAGATTTAGGTATATTACTTGATAGTAAATTAACTTTTATTCAACACCTTGAATTTATCATTTGTAGAGCTAATAAGGCACTTGGCTGCATAAAACGTTATTGTCGTGATTTTAGAAATTTTAATTCCATCAAAATGCTATTTGTTTCACACGTACGTTCAATCCTCGAATATGGTTCGATAATTTGGAATCCACATTACAAAATTCATGTTGGTAGGCTTGAAGCAATACAGTTTAAGTTTTTTAAATATATAAAATGGTTGCTGCCTTATTATGTGCTAGATAATTACAATATTTCCTTAAATTATATGTCTCTTTCTACACTTGAAATTAGAAGAAGATATCAGGCTTTATGTTTTGTTTATAAACTTTTAAATAATTTGATTAATGATACTTCAATACTAAATTTAATTAATTTTCACGTTCCACAGTATAATAGTAGATCAAACCGTTTGCACACAATAATTATCTGTTTAATTCTCCTCTAAATGATCTTTCAAGAATTTGTAACATGTACAGTGTCAAGTTGGACTTTTTTAATTTTAAATCCTTTAATAGTCTCAAGCGTTTTCTAAAAGTTTCGTTGAGTTAGTCATTTAGTATTCTTTAATTATGTTTATATGTGATTTGTTTTCTATTATAATTTTACCATTACTTAATGTAAAGGATATTACCGTTAAATAAAGTTATTATTATTATTATTAAATTTGCCAAAAAAATAGCAGTTTTTCAATGAAGTGCTCTATTTTTATAAAAAACTTCTTTAATCCATTAATTTTTGTTTTGTTTTATC